CCGCCGTAGTAGCGGTTACCTGGCATACCCTCAGAGTACTTGTTGGTGAGAGCGCTTCCGAGAGCCTCTATAACAGCGAAAGAAGTGAAGTTTTCTGATGCAATCAGTTCGATTCCTCTGCATTGGCGGCGTTTTTCCTTCTCGATTAAGTCGTGGATTTCTGGGTCAACTGTTTGGAGGGAGGAGTTTCCCCACACAGTTACTGGATCCATGTTCGAGGGAGGAGGGAAGGAATGGGTTTGCGCTTCGCAGAGGGTGGTGGCTTCGTGGCTGGCAAGGAGAGAGGACGGTCTTGTGGGGGCTTATAAAGGGAGGAGGAGAAGTCGGAAATTACTGTTTTGGGGTTTTTATTTGATTTAGTTTAGGTGGTATGAGGTGGCAAGAGCTTAAGAGGACCAGTTCATGCAAGCCAGTATGGTTATTTTTACGTATGGCTTAGTTGTGATTTATGTCATTTTGGAGGTTTGATTCAAATGGTTTTTTTACTATGAGAAGCCATTACGCTAAAAAAATTATCATAGATAATTTGTCTAAGACCTACTTGAAACTTTTTCTTTTTAGTAATATGGGTATTTATATATTTTTTAATTAATTTTTTAGATTTTAAAATTAATAATATTATAAATTTTTAGTGATACTGAAATTTATAAAACTTAATTTTTAAAAATTAAATTTAAAATTTAATCAATTAAATTACATCTTTTAAAATTAAATATATTTAAAACTAACGTGATTAGAAATTGTTAAAAAAAACAACTAAAGAGAATCAAATTTTGTCCTCAATAATTGAAAGGCTCAGTTTCATAAATATATTAATTTAACTTTGTAAAAATTTAGACTCCGTATGTAAAATATAAAAAATTAGGTTTGTTATAACTATGGATGTAAAATATAAAAAGTTAGGTACCTCACCTAAATAAATTTATTAACACTTCTAATTGAGGTCAGCACCTAAACCCTCTTTTTTTTCCTTCTTCATCATGTTTCAAGATCCAAAAGTTAATTTTTTCTTTTTCAAAAATAAAATTAAAAAAATTTTCAAATAAAAAATTAGTTCATTGAAATCGAGTTTCTGTTTTGCTGTTTCCCAGAAATACATGGCATGACATGTAATTGACTCGTTAAAAACATAACACATACAAAAATTTAAAATAAACTATTTCATGTGAGTAAACATTATATACTAGCATTGATTGATTGTACATTATAATAGTGAGTTAGTGTTTTTTCTTTAAAAAAAAACCTAAGAATATCTTTTAGTAGTAAAATTATATTTTTGTTAGGTTTTTTTATTATTTTAGAATTGTTTAAGATATCTCAGTTAATTTATAATTTTTTACATAGTTAAATTACTTGATTATTTTAAAAAAGAAAATTATCTCTTATTTAGAGGCTTTAGAGACATGCTTAGTGTAACTACTCTTTTGCTTTTAGAATTAAAAAGTTATTGGCTTTGCTTTAAGAGCATATTAGTATTTTTATATTAATTTTTTTATAATTATCTAAGTGGTTATAGAGGTTATTAGATAATTTGATTGATAAACAAATAAGAACAAAGTTGTTTGTGCGGCTATGCAATTTGCCACCAAGTGCACCATTTCGTGATTTTCAATCAGTGTATGTGATGGCTCACGATAAGTAAAATCAGCTTTCTAAGTGTCTTTCGATTCACAATGGCAAGGATTACCTTTTTATACAACACATGTGACTTCATTCTAGAAGGTTTGTCAGCTACTGATTTTTTTATTTTATTTTTTTCTTATTATAGAATGCATAACATGTATATCTTTGAATAAAAAATTAATATAGGATTATTCCAATGTTGTAATTTCTATGGTTACTACCGTGTTCTGCCATACATATATAAATAGGAAAGGTTCGTTAAGGCCAACCTAAGTTATTATGTTATTCTCAACTTGGTATCAGAGCCTCAAATAAATTAAAACACCTCTTCTCCTTTCTGCAATGGATCCCTTCCAGCCGATAACCATCTCTCCCTCTGCAGCAGCACTAGTGCTGCCATTCTCCTCTCCTACCACAGCACCACCTTCTTCTTCAGCTTCAGCTTTGCAGTGGTCATAGCCTAGAGATGTTGGCCATGCTCTCCTCAACCCCAATAATGCTCCTTTGCTGTCGTCATCTTCTGCTAAAGCCACCGCAGCTTCTGCTGTGGAAATTATGTCCCTCTCAAACACTCATCAGGTCATCTCTCTGAAACTGACTAACACCAATTATCTGTACTAGCAAATGCAAATGAAACCATATCTTCTAGGCTAGATAGTTTTTGGTTTTATTGATGGTTCCAACTCGTGCCCCTCTCCACATATTCTTGTTGCCGATGGTGTCTCTCTTCAAGTATCTCAACACTTTCTTCATTAGAAACAGCAGGACAAACTCATTCTAAATGCCCTACTCTTTTCGCTATCCATAGAAGTTATTTATCTTGTTGTTGATTGTCCAACCTCATGCTCTGTTCAGCACACATGACACGACTAAAAGATTGATGTCTTCTCCCAAGTGCAGGAGTGTCGAAGTAATAAATAACCCGGAAAGACCGGGGTCGAACCACAGGGAGGTTAATTGTAAAAATTAAAAATAACAA